AAATAAAAATGCATTTCGGATATTTATTACTTCTAAGAACCGAAATGGAAAAATAGTTTAGGGGTTTAGTAGGAATCCGGCGTCAAAATAATTACTTAGTGGAAATGGTGATATCTTTTTTGCTCTTAATTTCTTATTGGAAGGAAGGTAAAATCAGAGTCGGATGCCTGACTGGTCCTCATGGCAATCAAGGATGCAAAGTCCATTAGCATATAGATAGAATGGCTGTCCTGTAACGTGAACTTCTGAAAATATGGATAGAGTAGCTGAACCCAAGGTACTCCAGACATGTAAACAGTACTCCACGTCTTGCCTTAACTGAACTTTGTATGGGATGAACTCATATACAAGACCCGGCTTCGAGTACTGCTCCCATGTTTGGGGAGCTGCCGCCCCGACTACAATGTCCAATGTCGATGGTGTTCAGCGGAGGACTGTCCTACTGATGACTCTTCTCTAGCGGACAATTTCGAAACCTTTTAGCTTTGCTCATCAAAGATTGTATGAATAGTTAGGCGGTATAGCCCAGCCATCCATCGAAACCGAGAATCTGATACACGATCTACTGAATCTACATGAAGATATTATGAACCACCCTCGTAAGCCGTTGCCATTTAAAAACCGTCCGAATCTCTCGTGACACTATACAGAGTAGGCATTCCTATGAATAGAAGCCTACTACACACATGTAGAGTGTATGCATTAATGTAAACGACCCTGAATCTGATACGCGTTCTTGAGATTTTTCAATGGAATTCATTATCTCGTAATTCCCAGTATAGTATTATAATAGTGGTTATCTTTTTTCCACTTGTCGATTAAACAGCTATTATTTTTCACTGATAGCTTAAATTTTCTAGACGTGAGGTGACGAATTTGGAGATAGAATTCTCGGAACAGGTAACAGCAACTGTACATGGATGATTGCCATGTCATTGGCTTTTTTTGCTTTGAATACAGTGATAACCTGATGGTTCTGATCTAAACGATCTAAAACTATGTTTTTTTTTCACTTTACTCTAAATTGAATTAGGTATTCTGTTATGACTTAAATTTTATTATAATTTTATTTTGAGGTCATCTACTAATGTAATATAAACTCTGTAATTAAAATTATTTTCTACTTTTTAGTTCGGTTGGCTATAAAAGCGTGTTTTTCTAGTTTTTCTAAACTATTATTTATTTTTCATATTTTAGTTTATCAATTAGTTTTTTGTGGACATGTGCTATTGGAATGTCTGACGAATCATTTGTTATCAAATTATTGCATCGTCATCGGTCCTTGATACGTGTGCGAAGTTTCAAATTAATCAAACTTCTGGAAATTGGTGAAAATTATGCTCAAATATTCCGTTAGATACCTACATACACACATACAGACCAAGCTTATAAAAACCTGTTAAAAGTGGAGGAGCCGAAGAACTAATAACTGGATATGGTTGGAGAAAATATATCCTTTAACATTAATACAAGAGTCGGAACTCCATTCTTGAGAGAAAAAGGACTGTTAAGCAATTTCTAATGTAAAGAGAACCTTATAGCAGCGATGAATATTCAATTGGGCTGTAGTAATTAGTTCTAGGTTGTAGATTTTTCAAGACCCATAGCGCACTGTCTCGAGTAAATTACTTATATACTAAGTGACATATAAATCCGAACACCCAGTTTAAATGGTTTTATTTTAATAAAAGTTGGTGAATGTATTTATCTTACTGTAAATAACAAGTGAAAAAATTTTCAGCCTTATCAGTTGGACAATCCGGTTTTTATACTGCTTTTTTTTAATTCACTAACGCTCTAAAAATGAATATTTCAGCCGCAGTAAAGAATCAACGTTGGCGGATTTTGGTTCTTGACATCCTTCACAATCGGTTACGATGCCTAGAGTACGGAGACCTGTACGATTTCGTCAACTTAGTGAGTTTGATAGGGGCCGTATAGTGGGACTTCGGGAAGCTGGACTTTCTTTTCGGGCAATTACAGTTAGAGTGCAAAGAAGTGTAGACACTGTGGTTAGGTGTTGTCAGGCATGGCTTCGAGAAGGCCATACGCAAAGAGCAAGGGGCACTGGACGCCGCCGTAGAACAACAGACCGTGAAGATCGCCGCCTAAGATTATTGACCTTAAGGGACCGTTTCTCCACTACCAGGTCCATTGCAAATGAATGGTTTGCAGAACACGGAAGACCTATTGGCATGCGAAGTGTTTACCGACGAATGAGAAGTTTTAGCTTGTTTTCATACCGGCCACTCTGGGCCCTCCCTTTAACTCGAGAACACCGACGTAATCGCCTTGAGTGGTGCAGACAACGGTCACTCTGGGATCAGGAATGGAACAGTATTGTCTTTAGTGACGAGTCTCGATTTTGTTTAGGCATGCACGATGGTCGTGCCAGGGTTAGAAGGCGACGTGGTGAAAGGAGGAATCCACAGTTTTTTGTTGAAAGACATGTTCATCACACTGTTGGAGTTATGGTTTGGGGTGCTATAGCTTATGGTTCCAGGTCACCTTGAATCTTCATCAGAGGTAACATGAACGCGTAGCGTTATATCCACGAAGTTCTAGAACCCCAGCTTTTACCCTATCTTGACACCCTGGCAGATCCAACTTTCCAACAAAATAATGCCCGACCACATGTTGCAAGAGTCACAATAGACTTCTTTCAACATAATGATGTCACATTGTTACTATGGCCATCAAGATCTCCCGACTTATCCCCAATTGAGCACGTGTGGGATATGATGGGTAGGAGATTGCTCAATTTGCAACGTCCTCCTCAGACTCTAGAAGCACTTCGAGAGGAGTTGGTGGTTGCCTGGAATGAGATACCACAGGAGGACATTGACCACTTGATCAGAAGCATGCCTAGGCGCGTTGGAGAATGCGTAGCACATCAGGGTGCATCCACACATTATTAAAGGTCAAAGGGCTTTAAAGCAGTGCAATCATTTTGAAATTTTTATCATTTATGTACTTATTATGCTTCATTAAGTACTTATACAAAATTTTATTAAAATAAAACCATTTAAACTGGGTGTTCGGATTTATATGTCACTTAGTATAGTTAAGGTGCAATGTACAATCTAATCTGAAATATAGATCAGTAAAAAAGTGCGGAAACTTCGCCAACTTACTTTTGTGATGAAAAAACTAAACAAATATTATTTTGCCAAAAATGGATGCTGTCAAAAAGGTAATAAAACACTTTCTACTGGTTATTACACCCCTATTTTGAAGAAATGACCTCCAGAGTCGGCAAGAAAGGCTAAAAGTAGCCTGGTTACCAGTCATCGCCTATTCACATCATTACTGCTACTCATTATTTGTCCACCTCAAGGTCATCATTCATGAGATTCTAATTTATGTCTGCAATTATTTTTTCAAGATTTCTAGCTAATAATCATTATGGTACGACCCACTAGTAGAATACGATTCTCGATCAACAAATACCGCTAAACCTGTGAATGACCTCAAGCAAGTCATAAGAGAAAGTACATAAATTTAAACCTGCATACATACACACACCTTAAGTTCGAAATGACTAGCGGTTTTCGAGCAATCAATATCTGCTGGTTTTTATCAGTTCACTTGAATTCTTGGCTAGGAAGCCATCTGCTTAGGAATGTGTTAGAAATTCCTCTCAGCCGGTGTGATGAAGCGTGAATTCAAACAATGCTCACCTTCAGCGCTACCAAATATAGTCGGAGTATAACAAATTCTGTGGAACAAGTACACAGATTGCGTAATAAATACCGTATTATCCCAAGATTTCCCAACATTCATTTTTTGTGACCGAAATAAAGTAAACGCTAAGCATCAACGTAGATAAGCGGCCCATTCCGTGCTTTGCATTTGGCCTTAACAACCTTTTTTTTTTTCGTGCACAAAATCCCATACCAGATATTTTTATTGATGAAATTGAAAGGAGACCATGCATTCCGAGTCATAACATTCAAATAAGATGGCAAAAAGGCATCTGGGAGGAGATGGTACTATTTTATTCACCTGAACTAAGCCTAATGGTCAATGGGTGTCAGATCTGTAAAATTTGTTAGACATCTGGACGGAATTTCAAACGAATCATCAATTTCCAATTCAACGGTACTCGTTCAAGGCGGAAGTAACGTTACTAATGTCAAAAACCTGTTTAACATTCCATGTATCGATATTTATTATATAGATAAGAGATTTGTATCACGTTGTACTTCCTGTTGACGATAAAAAGGATATAATTCAAGTTCATATTCTATTTCTCATTTGTATAAGGACAAATAACACAAACCCCTAACGAGCGTGATCTATTTTTGAATGTTATATGAATTTTTCTAATTTAATCCTTGGTATCATTTTCGGGTTCGTAAACGTGGCAATCCCGTTTTTCAATACCAATTTGCAATAGCCCAGGAATGTGAGGCTGATCTTTTGAGGAACTCACAGCTGCCTCGATATTTTTGTGTTATTGGTTTTCTACAAACATAGCGCAGAATCTAGACAGATGTTAAATGATCTGTAACATCAAAAGGATGAAAAATGGCTTCGGAAAAAAGGCATTCAAAGTGTGATGTTTTCAGAAGACGCATGATGTTCCTGGACTATCCCAAATCTATGTATGCCCATGTTGCCGTTCTTTTGTCATTCATTCTAGATGTAAAAACATATTTATTCTAGCATCCCAAAATGAAGATTATTTAAATGATTAATTACTAATATAATTAAGTGAGGGCATACAAATATCATCTATACTATGATAGGTAAATGAAGTAATATAGTTTTATACAAACAAGCTTTAGAAACTTGGTACATCGTGATCCAGTACACAAAAAATATACCATTTAACATCACGGAAATAATATAAAAAATTTTACAATTATAGCAAAAACAAGCTTGTGTGTAGTCTAGAACAGTGTGGGAAGTTTATTATAATCAAGATAAAAGTTGTGTAATTATGTAGCTATAACGCAATTCCTCATTATAATTTAAGAACCACTATTATTACGTACCTAATGTGCACTCTGAAGGCATTGAACCAGCATCTTGAAATCCACAGATATCAAAAAGGCGTCCTAAGTTTACTAAAGGCACAACACAGATTTGACAACGATAACACTAGTCCTATTTTTCCAGCAACCTCCGCACATGATTTTCCGCAGTCTATTTTGCCTCAGGGCGAGTTTTTGGGCCCCCGAGCAACACGAAAACGTCTTTGTTGGAGGAAAGTGAGGTTAGAACGACCGATCATCGAAAAATCCTGCGATATCGACCTGCGTTAGACCAATTCATGAAACGGTCGCATACCGAGTGTTTCGAGTGAACCGAATGTAAAATCGCATCAGTGGACGCTCGCGCCGGATGCAAGGTTGCCGCGTTCTCGAGTTTCTCGGAGTGTTAAGGATTTTTTATTCGCTTTTCGAAAATCTGTCACATAATATAACATACGAGGACATTCGTTTGAGACACATAAACGATTTTAATTTTCATGTATAGTAGTGAAGAAGGGCAAAGATGTGTTGGTCGGGAAGGTAAGCCCATCACTTTTTGAGTCGCTGAAACTGAATCTGGAAGCCATTTAGTTGGGCAATGAAAATTTGTCTAATGACTGTGGGGCTAATGGAAAAAACGGAAAAAAACCTAAATTCACTAAATTTGGTTTTTTGACGTTTTGATAAAAAAATGTGGAGGTTAAAATTTGGGTGTTGGAAGTACCTGTATATTAATTTTTGGCGTTACTATATCCATACGCTTCCAACTAGAAGGATATGTAGCGTCTAGGTCGGTGCTCACAAAATCCTATCTACGCCTTCCGCCAGTTCGTGCTGACGAACATAACATGACTGACGTTGGCAGATGGTCCATGCTTTCAGGAAGTGTAGAGAAATTTCTATTAAAAATCGGTAAAAAAAAATCGTCTAAATCAACAGTAGTACTCTACCTCACAAAAAATTTGTTCTGGTGTACCACAGGGATCTGTCTTAGGGCTCCTGTGACTTTCATTGTATATCTCAGATTTGGAATAGAGATAAAATTATGCAGAGTACATATTTTTGCCGACGATACACAGATTTTCTATTCATTTAGGTGTAATGACTTGGAAACAGCGAATAATAACATTAATCAAGAACTTGCCCAAATTGAAAAGTTTAGTAGTACATAATCATTAAATCTCCGTTTGAACCACTTAAAGACAAAAAGGAATCCTGACATAAACATAAATTTAAAAGGTAATAAAATAGCTTCTGTGGATCATTCTAAGAACCTAGGTGATGGAATGGATGATGATTTAAAATTTATTCAACACGTAAACTATCTAATTTCCCAGTGCTGCACTATTTTCGGAGCTTTATTTGCAAATAAGGCTATATTACATAAATCTGCATGAAAGCAATTGTATGAACCTTTCTTGTGGTTTACTATACCTATTTAGATATTATAAAGAAAACGGTAATCAAAGTATTAGGAATACATGTTGCAGGCTTGTTAATGATCTCAGAAAATATGATTATATATCGCAGGCCATTAATGACCTCAAATGGACGGAAATTGATAAAGTATATAAATACCAGCTTCTAAGTCTGACTCTTAGGGTGTGTTACTCAAAAACACAGTCATATTAGTATACAAATTCATCCATAGGGGAAATATATATGGCATTAATATTAGATATAGATAGACTTTTTCAATGCCACGTCACAGCACATCTCTATTTCAGAACACATATATTTTCAATGCAATCAAATTATATAACTATTTATACCGCAGTTTAAAAGAAAATAATTCGTTACAACAAATTCAAGCAAAAATCAAAGAAATTCTACTTGACCAGCAGCGAAATCTTTTGAAACCAATAAGTGTCAACTGACTTTATGTTTTCTTTACTTTAATTATGCTTTATTATTGTGGTTATTGAATACAGCTTTAATTTTTAACAAATTGTCAGTTTTTTTTACATCTCGTATTGGTGAGGGGTTTAGGTGGTAGAATAGATAAGGTATCTAAATCTCGCCTCTTATAATGTTATTACAAATAAAAAAAGGCCTTAATTATTATTATTAAATGATTGATCTTGATCCATTGAATTCTTTTTTGTTATGCATGCAATGCATTCTGTCCAGCAACATACTGTTTTTTGGATACTGATACTAGTAATTATTGTTTCCTATATACTTAATATAGTTATTAACTTAGCTCGCCAAGAGATAGATCTGTATTGATAACATTTTCACAGAAATGCAATTTCCGAACCTTTATCGGCAACGCCGTACAAATTCGTCTGAAATGACGGTGCACCGAAGTGAGAGGCATGTCCTCTGACGCTGTGCGTTCGAGAGAGACAGAAGAGGCGCTCGACCACCAATTTTCTCAGAACCATAGAACGTGTTTTTCGTTTCACGTTAAGACGGAGAGGGGGTCCGTCCCGACGTCAGGCGTTGACGCTGAGCGTCGGCGTCGCCTGCTCCGGTACCGGGAATCCTCTCTTCTCGGAAGGAGTGTATATATAGTCCCAAGTTAGGCCCACTCCACGAATGGCGCGCTCAGCCGTCGCCAAAATGTTAGTTTGAGAAGCGCTACAGCTGTCGCCCTGTTGCATCTGTTGGGGCGCGGAAGTCAGTAGCGCTGCTACCTTGTCTGCTGCTAAGGCAGGCCCTAAATACTGACGTATTACAACCGCTATAAAACGACATATTTGTCGTCTCCTGTAATTATGACCAACCGCAGCCGGCGCTGTTTCGTGCTCATTAGCAACTCATCAGTGCGGTATAGGTGTGAGGTTTAGTCGTGGAGACAAACGAAACGGACAGCAAACAAATCGATAATTTGAAAAAGTCGAAACATCGCCACGCAGCAATGGTTTCGTCAAGCTGATTTTCATATGCATCCATGTATGATGAAGGCGATACTGATGCAGTTAGGCACTGTAGCTCATACCGCTCAACTTCTATGCTTATTCTATGTCGCATCGCACTATCACGATCAAGTGTCAAGTAGAGGCAAAACTAGGCATCCACAGAATCATTTCCTGGTCTTGTACAGACTGAGGAAGTTATTTAGACGTGTTCGAGCCAAATGCCTACGCTTATGTGCCTCTTGTTAAAGTACAAAATAGTGACTGTCGTATTGTGTTTTACTGATGATCACATGAGACGGTGATGGATGTTCAACCTATCATTAATTAATGGTAACTCCATTATTTATTAGCTACCCCATGTATAATTATAGTACCTATAATTATACCCCTTCTACAACATATGCCAATGCTTACTTTATACCTTATGCATTTTTTATCCATCGCATTCGTATGACCATAGTACGAGTATATACAACACTACGCAGCAACGCAGCTTCAGGGTCAACTTGCGTACAACGCAAACAACGCGGAAATACTCTGAAAATAAGTGGAAATACTACCTCCAATTTAGGCATAGTGGTTTAGAGAGCCAGATGTATATTTGTCATTATAACTTAAAATACTTCTTCCGCTAAAACCGATTGCAAAATTCGTCGCTTTAGATAATTGATAGCACATAAATTGGAAGAAAAGCAGCCTATGTTTTTTAAATCGATCTCATCGATGTATTTGTTATATTGTATCGAAGCTACCGATCTTTATCGATGTCTAAACATTGACGTTTTCTGAAAAATTGCCATCCCTAGATATGGATACATAATAGAGACCTTGACCGTGCTGATGGTTGCGATATAGCATGAGACAGCGCTGTACACGGTTAGTCCTACGGACGAATAAAAGCTGTATTAATAATTTGAAATTGAACTACTGGGATGCTTCAAGTTGTGTTACTGTGTGGTATTTTATATGCCGTCCTATAACCACCCATTATATAAAATGAGATCTAAATATATATCGATCCAGAACAAAGTGGTGTGTTATTTATTATAGTGCTTTTGCCAGGAATACCGGGAAGCGGTTTATAAATTGCTTTCTCGGATCTAGCGACAAACTTTTTGTAATCACTGGAATAGATAATCTAAATACGGCGAAGCTTTTCTATAACTGAACTTTCATTTGTTTGATTGTACAAATACAGTTTCTCAATCTGAATGCGTCAGAATTCAAGACTGTCACATCGCGTAATAACTTTTAGGCACTTTGTTTTTGGTAAATGATGACTATTGGGTAATTTCCTAAAATAGTTAATGCGAAGTATCGTCGATACTAAGTGGTCCTCAAAATATGAGAAAGTAGTCAAACAAATTTCAGATGTATGACCATGGGCTAGGGCGGATATAGGAATTTGTGAAGAGGGTGGGGGCGCTGTGGTCACAGGATTCGTGTTTGGGAGATGTCTGTCTCGATGTAGGAGATCGACAATTGAAAATTGTATATTGGATGGGAGAGGGGGGTCAAAACTGGCTGTGATATTATGTTTTTAACCATACAATAGAACTGTTTTTTGGAGGCATTAAAATTACACAAGGCTTAAATAATTGGCGGTTGGGGGTGGAGCAATTTTTGAGCGTGAGTATATATTTATACTGACGTCAAATTGTTATCAAAATTGTATGGGCCCGTTTGACTGACCTGATCCGTTTCTTTGTTAAACATGTTCGTAGCTAAATTTTTCTCAGAGGGCCTAACTTGTTCCAAACATGATCCTTCATGAACTGATAACAGCGTTGCGTGGGAGGTACAGAGTCAACCTACTTGACGCCATTTTTTATTCCACAAAGCGCCGCGGTGGGTCATACGTATTGGGTCTCTCTGGAATAGGATTTTTGGACAGGCAGCGAATTAGAAAGACGTTACAATAACGTTGTTTTTGGCATGACGTACCCCCTGTACATCTCTATTTTTAAAAGAACGTTTTTAGAAAGCGGCTGCTCCAGCCTTCCAGCCGAACATAACCATTAAACGTTCCTGGAAATATAAGTTATAGCAGCCAGCAAGCAGCTCGATGCTAATCAAACATTTGCATAAATTTTATTATATTTCCAGTTTAGATGTAATCAGTACCAAGAATCGCTCTTCCAATGAACCAATTGCGAGCGCGGGGTTACTAGCCCGCAGCCCGTATACAAACTATTTTGTACACAATCTTCTTCATTCTTGCTTTTATTTCCCATTGAGTCTTTTAGTACAGGAATTATCTTCGCATCTGCTCGGAAAAAATATGATAGGGTTTTTGTATCACTTTATTGCATCAAAAATTATTTTAATTGATCATTAATTAATTTTGAGCAGTTTAAATAATTAAACATTGTATTTTAGAAAGATTAACATTGCCACTTTTTGTCCTCTACGAGATATCATAGTTAGAATCTCAATATGCGTCTCGTCT